TTCATTTGTTAAATGAGACAATTTAAAACTTTAAATACCACCTGCATTGCAAACATATCCAGGCAGCGTAAAATAAATTTAAAAATACAAACCAAATCCAAAATATACAATAGAATTAAAATCATAAAACAATCAGTGGCCAGATATAATATCAAAAATAATTGCAATGGGGACGCGGGTGGCGCTGTGGGTAAAACCTCAGTGCCTAGGGCTTGCCGATCGCATGGTCGGCAGTTCGAATCCCCGCGGCGGTGTGAGCTCCCGTCTTTCGGTCCCAGCTCCTGCCCACCTAGCAGTTCGAAAGCACCCTTAAGTGCAAGTAGATAAATAGGTACCGACTTATAGCGGGAAGGTAAACGGCGTTTCTGTGTGCTGCGCTGGTGCTGGCTCACCAGAGCAGCTTCGTCACGCTGGCCATGTGACCTGGAAGTGTCTCCGGACAGCGCTGGCCCCGGCCTCTTAAGTGAGATGGGCGCACAACCCTAGAGTCGGACACGACTGGCCCGTATGGGCAGGGGTACCTTTACCTTTACCTTTAGGCAATGATGCATTCATTCCTGTTTTCTATCTATGACCGCAATCAGAATACAATTAAAGTGATAACATCACTGTACTCCTAACCCCTCTGCAGCACAACAAATCCAACTCAATGGTGTAACGTTGGAAAATGTCAATCACTTCCCCCACCTGGGCAGTTATCTTTCCACAAGGGCCAACATTGATGCTGAAATCCAGCATCACTTGAGCTCTGCAAGTGCGGCTTTCTCCCAACTGAAGTGCAGAGTGTTTGTTTGTTTGTTTGTTTGTTTGTTTGTTTTAAATGATATTTATTACTTTTTCAACATTTCCAACACAACACTACAAACAAAACAAAAAAGAGAAAAGAGAAAAAACAATACAAATACAATACAAAAACGCTACATAGACTAACAAAACAAACAAAAACAAACAAAAACAAACAAAAACAATTTAAAAACACCTCAAACATTTTCAATATCTTATATTTCATTCACTTATTTCCAGTGACCTCCTCACACCTCCCTTTTTGTATTCCACTTCTATTATTTGTTTCAGCAATTCCTTTCCATCTTACTCTGTTTTCTGTTCTATAATTATCTTAACATATTCTTGCCATACTTTTCCTTTAATTTTCTATTAATCTATTTATACTTAATTCCTTATGACATTTCTACTAAAGCCATGTAATTTCATTCCAACATTTTTCTAACATTCCTTAATTTTACAATATTTCTATAAATAGTCTTTAAACTTTTTCCAATCTTCTTCCACCGACTCTTCACCCTGGTCTCGGATCTTGCCAGTCATTTCCGCCAATTCCATATAGTCCATCAACTTCATCTGCCATTGTCCAACACTTCAGTGTTTTCAAAAAGCAACCATTCTCTCAACCAGCAAAAAGCAGATGGTTCACAACGAAGTTTAAAGGTCTGGCAGGGCAGGTCCACCTCCTTCCTTGGCATCCATCAATATCTTAAGTTTAACTCGAGGCTTCCTGCCCTGCCAAACAACTCTAGGAGCATCCCTCTGCCACCTCCTGAGACCCTCCATCCCATCCAAAGCTTGCAATGTTTGAAACAAAAGCAACATCCCCAGCAACACAGCAGCCCTCATCCCCACCACAATAACTCGGCCCAACAGTAACAACTTCTGATTTGTCCATATTTCCAAATCCCCTTTCTCTTCAATCCAACATCCTTCACAGTTATCCTTAAGCAGATTCACATTTTTGGCGGTCATACTAACCCCCAAATACCTCTCTTTCTCAACCAATGTTAGTCCTGTCACCTCCTGAAACTCTGTCAAGCTTTCCTTTTCCAATTCAGATAGGGCTCTGGTCCTCAAATTCATCCGTTCTTCTTTAAGTTCAATCATAACGAATGTCAGCTTATGTTCATCAAGTTGTCTTTGTATGGATGGGACTCTCCTCTCCAGTTGTATTACTTTAGATTCAGCAGCAAGGGTTTTTTCCCTGACTTCATCTGCAGTTTGCCGTATCAGAGTAGATTCCTGTGTCAGTTTCTGGGTGGTTTCTGAATTGGTATTCACCTTTTGTCCCAAGTTATTTAAACTTTCTACAATTAAATCAATTTCAATATTTGCAACATCCAATTTCACATTTATCGCATCTGTTTTCTTGTGGAGTTGTTCCAGCGAATCGTTTATTTTCAATAATGCAGCCACTAAGGCCTCCTCTGTCGACATCCCGTCTGTTTTTTCCTTTCCGTTTGCCATAACACTTAAGAGATTCAAGGTCAATTCCAAAGTCTCACACTTTTTTATCTTGCAGCTGGAAATTCCCCTAGCCCAGCTCCTATAAAGTAACCAATTTCAAAAGCTTCCACTAGGGGAAAACAGGTTGTATTTGTATCGGTCAGTATGTCCTCTTTTAAACACAGTTTCAATAATCCAAAGTTACAGTGGTGCCCCGCAAGACGAATGCCTCGCAAGACGGAAAACCCACTAGATGAAAGGGTTTTCTGTTTTTGAGTTGCTTCGCAGGACGAATTTCCCTATGGGCTTGCTTCGCAAGACGAAAATGTCTTGTGAGTCTTGAGATTTTTTTTCGCTCCCCCCCCTTTTTCTAAGCTGCTAAGCCGCTAATAGCCTTTTATCAGCTAAGCCACTAAGCCGATAAGCCTTTAATAGCCGCTAAACCGCTAATAGCGCTAATCCGCTAAGCCGCTAATAGGGTTGCTTCGCAAGACGAAAAAACCGCTAGGCGAAGACACTCGCGGAACGGATTAATTTCGTCTTGCGAGGCACCACTGTAGTTTCAATTTTCAGTTACTTTCCTCCTTTATTGAAAACAACCGGAGACAGTAGAAACAATGTATTCTCTTGATTAGCTACCTGTCAGTGAACGTTCTAAACACTGTCAATGGACGTTCCAAAAAACATCAATCCTGCTAGCAGCCCGTTTCCAGGGACAGAGCGGAAATTTTAGCTCTCTTAACTCTCTCCTACAGGCATATTCAGTCCACCATTCCCCCCCCTTCTCCTGCCTCCAAAAAGGGGGGATTTAGTTCTTTACCGATGGAAATTTAGTCCTTTACAAAAGGCTTTCCAAGACTTTAGCTTGCAGTCTCCTTGCTTCAGTTAATCTACAAAAGAGGGAGGCGGACTTCCTGTATTGAACCTACTCGTTTCGATGCCAGATTAAACGTTTAAAAATCCAATTCTTCCCAATTCAGCTCTACTCACGGGTAATTACTTTAGAGTCAAATTGTCCACAGGAAAAAGTCAGTGCTCTCCGACAACAGCTATGCGGCTTCGCTCCGTGGAAGAAGCAGACGATTCGAAGCACCGCGCCACTCACCCCACATTGCTCCGGATCCCCGAAACCGGGTTTCCCCGCGAGTAGGGGAGGTGCAAAAGGTGCCCGTCGAATCCCACATTCACAGGCTTCTCCCGCCTGTGATTTTTACGGGTCTCCGCCTTCGCCGTGGCGGTACAGACCCAAATTCCCACGGGGCAAATTCCTCCCGATCAGAGGAATTCCGCCATTGCCGGAGGCACCAACCCGGAAGTCTACTGAAGTGCAGAGTGTTTGAGGACCAGGACGCTCGCAGGAAAACCAAAATGCTTGTTTACAAAGCTATTGTACTACCAACCTTACTATATGCTTGTGAAACATGGACCACCTATGAACGCCATCTCCAACCCCTCGAAAGATTCCATCAATGGTGTCTCCGAAAAATTTTACACATCACTTGGGAAGACAGGCAAACTAATACCAGTGTACAGGAAGAAGCAAAGATCACCAGTGTTGAAGCAATGATTCTTCAACATCAACTTTGTAGGACTAGTCATGTTGTGCGGATGCCTGATGATTGTCTTCCAAAGCCACTACTCTATTCCAAACTTAAAAATGGAAAGCATAATGCTAGTGGTCAACAAAAGAGGTTTAAAGACTGTCTCAAGGCAAATCTTTAAAAATGTAATATAAACACTGACAACTGGGAAACACTGGCCTGTGAGTGCTTCAGTTGGAGAACAGCCTTTACCAAAGGTATCATGGGCTTTGAAGACACTCGAACTCAGGACGCAAGGGAGAAATGTGCTAAGAGGAAGGCACGCTTGGCAAATCCACACTGTGATCAACTCCCACCCAGAAACCAATGTCCCCACTGTGGAAGGACATGTGGATCCAGAATTGGCCTCAACAGTCACTTACGGACTCATTGTTAAAACCATGTTTATGGAAAACAATCTTACTCAACTACGAGTGATCGCCAAAGAAGAAGAAGACTCCAGCTCCTGTTGACCACATACAGTTCACTGGTGTTTAGAGACAGCCTTGAACTAGTTATGCCCTGAACTAGAATTTCACATGGTGTTAACTATCTGCTGCGTCGACAAATGTATCATCTCTGTTTTTTTAAACACAGATATATTGTACCACAGTAGTGTGTGTGCCATGACAAAATGTTTTATTTGGTTTGTTTTCAAACTGCATATTAAACTCAGCTCTAGTATTTGGCAAACAAAATGCTTGATCCCACTTGCTATCAATCACTCGCTATTAGCAGCTGATAATTAATTCAGATTGCATATGGCTTTCCATAATATACTTTTGTCTGCAGGTGGTAACTCTGAATCTAACATTTAAATGCTGATGCCACAAAAAAACCCACAGTAATACAGATTCACTAGGTGATAACTGACTCATTGGTTGATTCTGGGTTATTATCAGCCTAGTTTGTGATCTTTACTTAATAGCCAAATGTTTGCTTTAGAAATATGCTTAATTGAAGTCAAATGGTCTGCATTTTGAGGTGGTTCCACTTCAAATTTCACACATTTGACAAATTTCACACATTTGACAAATTTCACACATTTGTCTGAAAGCATCCAGTGACATTCCTGACACCCTTTGGGTAGTTTTCATCCCTCTTCATATCCCAGCAACCTTGGGATCAATCCAGATTTAGAGCAGATTTTTGCATAACCCACTCATCAGAGTACCACAGATAGTGCTTGCTCCTTTGAAGCTCTGCTGTTAGAGTATGAGGCTCTTAATCTCAAGGTCATGGGTCTGAGCCCCATGTTGGGCAAAAGGTTCCCGCATTGCAGGCCGTTGGACTATATGGCCCTTGTGGTCCTTTCCAACTCTACTGCTCTATAATTCTTTGAAGGAGATATCATTGGTTACTAAAGGTGATGATAGCAATGCCCCCATTCTCCCCCTGCACAGCTTCCAAAATTGGCTTGGGAGCGGGTTCAAGGAACCCCTGGAACAGTACATGGGGGGGAGGGACTGGATGCTTGCAATGGCAGAACAGTCACTTTGGTACAACGTTGAATTTCACCCCTAAAGTTTAAGCACACACAGAAATACAAAATAGAGAAATTCAGAAGTGCTTGACCACACAGTACAAACATACAGGATTCCATTTAACTTAACACCATACATTCCGAACGCTATGTGATTTATATCACATACATGAAAATTGTGTCCTATGGGGAAACGTACAATGTCAAAAAGAAGACTGGGCTGACATACAAGGTTTTTAATGAGTGCTGCACTTTTGGATTGGAACTGGCCCAGAGCTAATTCAATTCTGGAACACTTGCTGCTTGTCGTATTTGAATTAACACCAGAAAGGTATTGAGTGGGGAAGAGAGATGGGAACTTTGCAGAATTTTTAAAAACACTATTGCATCACACAATATATAGGCTGGAAAGATTTAGTACATACTGCATAGGAATCCTAAACTAATCAATTCTAAAGCATAACATGTTCCTTTAGACCTTTATTTTCTCCTGCAGGGGTTGCTATTATTATTATTTTTATAAGTTCTACTCAGATCATTCCGTCCCCCTCCTGTTTCACCCAAGATAGAGAGAGTCATTAAAAAATAATTTCTTGAGCTAATTTGAAATGGTCCAAGAAGCCATGCAAGCCAGTCGCTAGGGGATATGTTTTATTACTCTATTTTTAACCCCTCTCTAGACAATTTCCCCCGGTAGTCCATTATTTGTGTCTCTGTCCAAACAACATGATTAGTATTAAGATCATTGCCACTCCCTACATAGTCTGTACATACAACACAAAGATTCCCTTATGACAATCATGAAGTGAAGTGAAATAAAAGAGTGTGACAAACTGCATCGGCTTTCTTGTGCCATGCGTCCAATTCATTGACAAAAGTGGAGATGTTTGGGTAAATGCATTCTATAAAATAATAACAGTGATAATGATAATAATATCAACAAATCCTGTCCATTTTTCAAACGTGGCTAACAGATCACAATATCATACAGTATTTGAAACATATGTTACAGTCCCCATTCCTAGTCACAACCATAAGACCAAAAACAATTAACATAATGAACCAACCGCAATAATCACTTCTAAAGCAGCCATCAAACTAAGGCATTGTCAGACATAAATCAAGAGAATGTTCAGCAAGAATGCTTCATTCAAGTGGTTTTCCCAACCACTTGAATGAAGTGAAAAGCAGTGGGATCTGATGCACCTCAATTGCGAAGGCATCCCACAGAAAAGTCCTAAGTCTGGGTACCACCAGCTGTACTTCACAGGGTTGAGGAATCTGGAGTACAACCATATTGAAGAAGACACTACTTAAGACAGCCACAACCATTGTTCAAAGTCTTTTAAAAACATAAGAGCGTAAGTCATGCCTGCTGCATCAGGGCAATGGACCATCTAGTTCAGCATCCTGTTCTCACAGTGGCCAAACACATGCCTGTGGGAAGCCTGAAACTCCCAGCAACTGGTGTGCCAATACATAATTCCTCTAGTAGTGGAGGTAGAACATGGCCATTGTGGTTAAGAACCATTGGTAGCCTTGTCCTCCATAATTTTATCTCTTCTTTTTAAAAAGCCATTCAGTGCAGGAAACCTGAACTGAATCTGGAAACAAAATGACAACCAATGAAACCTCAAGTTAAGGGGCAAACACTCTGTCAGCCGCCAAGATGAATGGAGACAATCAATCAAAATAGGACAGCTATCAGTGCTGACAACCTCTAAGAAAGCAAGAATACATTATATGTAAGTGTAAACAAAGGGAAAAGCAGGAATCATGCAATATTAGCATCCATGTGATCCTCACACATTAGTGCACAAAACAGCCTGTAAATTGGCCCAAGAATTGCTACAGGTTTTTAAACGAATTTGATACAAAATCTGATCTTTATGGAGTGGGTTTGCAACAATGGAGCAGGATCAAATCTAGATTGTTCCATATACTGTATATCCTCACTCATCAAGCAGACAGAGCTGCTCCTTAAAATGAGCATACTTACTATTGTGAACTCTTCATCCACCATTAAATAACAGCAAATCGCAAGGCATTTTTTGTAGGTAGGTGGAGGACGGTTGATTCAGTGTTTATAGTGTATCTGTTAAAAGAAAATTTCGTTTTATTGATTGCCAGAGACCAATTTCATCTCATTCCCTCCCCAAAGGATTGAAACCCCAGACTTAAATAAACGAAAAGTATAGTTCATCATCTTTAAAAGTGCTTTTACAGGGGCTCTCTTCTGTCCTGAGATAACTCCCCTTTCCCTCACTTGTGTCTCCCCAATAGGCTGTAATTGTAGAAAATCTACCAAAAAAAATGAAAAAAGATTCCAATGGCAATCAGGTTAGCTGTAAGTTTTGTGATGTGTGTCTGAAAGATTTATGTCCTGATTAAAAGAACCTTGATTGAATTTTCGGATAGAAAATTGTTTTGTTCATAAGCACATGTGCCTTTTTATCCTTTGATCCCTCCTTGGCTTTCATGGCTATTTGGGAAGATGGAGAGTTAGAGGCAAAAGAAGGGAACCAAGAAAGCAATATAAGCAATTAGATGCACCCAGCACTGGAGATTTGGGGTGATTAAAGCAGTAGATGGCAACAGGGAACCTGTCTGTACTTGTGAAACTTTCAGACAGACTCCACGCCAGAGTGACTTGGGTCATTTCTTTTTCACGTGGATTTCAACTAATGTTGTCTGTTCTTTTAAAAAAAAATATGGCCAAACATCTGTAGCATTTGTTACCATTGGAGGTCCAAGCTGCACAACCAATGCAAAATATTTGTTATGATCTCAACCTATAATCCAGTGCCTGTAAAAAAAGTATTTCAAGGCAAACTCCAATTCTTAACCGCTGCTTAACCATACTTATTAAAAAAAAAGGTACTCTCATGCGAAAGTAACAACCAATCTGCCCTTTTCCGATAAATATATTCAAAACATACAGATGCCTTCAAGGCAGATCACAAAGCATGTCTCAATTAATAGTGTAGAAGGTTCAGATGCAGCCTTAGTGGGCAAGACATGTGGGGGGAGGTGGAGAGAGGGGCCCTACATTATTCATGGAGGGCAGGGCACCGGGCTTCTGAATATGAATCTCTAATGAACAGCTCACAGTGCTTTGCTGCCCTTCAGCTCAATTTGTATGATAGGGATGAGAAAAATGTGTGCATCCATGCAGGCTGCTGCTCTTCCAGCTCTTCTTGTGGCTCTTTAGCATTTTCATGCTATTCCTATACCCACACCCAGCATGGCTGCTTTCCCTCTGATTTCTCAATGCATGTGTCAATGCACTTCTTAAGTACGGTTATTGCTTTTAGGGTGCTCACACTAGCTAGGCACAGCATCTAAAACAGGGGGCGGCAACCTAAGGCCTATGGGCCACAAGAGGCCCACGGGGGTCATTTAATCAGCCCACGAGCCACCCCTGAACCTCCCCACCGGAAATTGTGTCTGCGCAAACACAGATGCCAGAAATTGTTGGCGTCACACAATCCGGCCAATGGAGGAATCTCTGTTGGAGTGAACCGGCCCAGGTGAGGTAAACCTTGCCAACCCCTGGTTTGAAACATTATTGAATCGCAGATCTGCCATCAAGTCAAAGGAAAAACTAGATGCAGTTGCAGCAGTTAATCATTCCCCCAAAACATAGAAAATGGGAATGTGGGGTTTATATAATGTAATCAGGAAAGAGATACATGGACAGTGCTGGCTACTAAGCACTATCCTCATTAGATCATAATATTATTAGAAAAGGCCTGCTAGATTAAGCAAAAGGCCCCCCTGTTCCCGTATCCTCTCCGCACAGTGGCCAACCAGATGCTTAAGGGAAGCCTTCCAGGAGGACCAAGTACAACAGATTTCTTTTCTGTGCAACTTTCCTGCATCCCTCTTCTCTGAGCTTTCCTGTCCTCCAAGTTGGAATAAAATACCAGGAGTTACCTCAGTTGTGCAATATGGAAGTTGTGCAATATGGAAGTTACCTCAGTTGTGCAATATGGACAGAAGATGGAAGAAATTAAGAGAAAGGCTCAGGAATGACTCCATTGCCTTTGCAGGGAAAGGGCCCTGGCTCAGTAGCAGAACACCTGTTTTGCATGCAGGAAATCCCAGGTTTGGGGCCTGGCACCTCGAGTTAGAAGGATCATTTAGATCGCAACCTAGGACTGATGAGTGGACTTGGGGCAGATCTACACTCATGGTTTATAAAGTTAATAATGTGTTGTTAAAATGTGACACCAGAGGGCGCTGCAGAGCAACGAGCCACCAGCAATAGGGAAACTGCATGTTAAAGGTAAGGTGACATTATAGAATGATATATCTAATATTGTTTTAATAACATTTAAAAGATCAATGTAGATCCAGCCATGGTCAGTATTGTGCTCTTACAAAGTGATGGAAGATATGTTCTGCTTGTGACCCTAAAAAGCCTTTTCAGGCCAGACACAGGGCTAAGTGACCTGGTACAAGGCAACTTCCAAGCTTCTGTGAAAATCAGACTCCTCTTTCTGCATGACTTTCATAAATAGACCTTGGGAACTGTTACTGCCCTGTCTGGGCTGGCCCTAAGAGATGAGAAATATCAAGAGAGCAGAATAGGTGAGAGGCCTTTTCATAAAATAATCAGCATATGAGCCTAATTATCCACTTTAACTCTCAACATTGCCTTCTGGGAGGGGGAGGAAGGGGGAACCAAAGGGCAAAAAGCAAGGAAACTATCCAGTGCTTTGGGATCCACTTTAAGGAACCCCAGGGGAGCATTTAATCATATTGAACCCCCTATTGT